AAGCTGCGAGAGCACATGCAGAGGATGCACAACCCGGAGAGGGAGGCCAAGAAAGCTGATCGAATCAGCCGCTCAAAAACGTTCAAGCCTCGGATAGCTTCCACTGACTACGAAAGCTTCATGTTCAAGTGCCGGCTCTGTATGATGGGCTTCCGCCGGAGGGGGATGTTGGTGAGTGTCTGTGTGCTCTAGCTTCTCTTACAACTTCTGTACTCGATTCTGATGAATAGTTAAGGAATGAAGATGGAATTCCAATGGTTGGAACACAAGGATGCTGTGAAACTGGGAGAATTTTGTAGCTGAGTTGAGATTATTTATCTTTTCTTAAAACTGTGTGTCTGGTCTCTTCAGCAAATGTGTGCCTTTGCATATTTCATTGCCTGTGTTGTATGTCTGGTTGTCACTACCGTATCTCAACACTAATGCTGATTGATATGTAACATATTTAGCAGAACATGAGATTAATATGTTGCCTCGTTCAGCCTTACTGCCTCAGTTTTCCTGACTGTCTGTCTGATTTTTTTTTTTCTCCCCCTTCTAGAGGGGCCTCTCCTGGCCGTGCCCTGTAACTGCCACTGTGTAAAGGGTGTTATGCAGCAAGAGATCTTATTTGCAGATATTTCATGAGGGTTGTTACCTCTGCTAGCAAAGGCCTCCCTGGGCAGAGGTCCTTTACATTACCTCACCCTCAGCTGCAAGAGAGTTCTGGCAAGTTATTTTACCCCTTCCCATCTTATTTTGATTAGCGAAACTGTAAATGAGATCTAGCAAGACCATGTTTACCTTTAGCGGCTGACTGAACGCACAATAACCCTCGCAGCAGCAAATGCTTCCGGTGCTGCTGGCTAGCATCACTACGGTTTTGGTTTGGCTGTTATCCATGTCTAGGAGAAGAAGCAATTGCTTGGCTTCCATCTGTAATATGCTCTCTTGTTCTCTTTGTTTCTTTCTCCTAAGGTGAATCATTTATCAAAGAGACATCCAGACATGAAAATAGAAGAGGTGCCAGAGCTCACGTTGCCCATCATCAAACCCAACAGAGATTACTTCTGTCAGTACTGTGATAAGGTATGTAAGGAAGTCACCCCTCGGAGGGTAGCTCACTCCTAGACCTGCATGCAACCAATTTGTCTCTGGATAGAAACATCTGGCAGCGTTTGTAGCTTTTTTTTTTTATCTGAGGTGCTTGCCAGCAACATTTCTGCAGCATTATCCAAAAGAAATTAAGATGAAATACACTTAGGCCGAGGCAGCTGAACGCTAATTGAAAACTGCAGTTCTCCTTTTCTGCTCTCTTTGGAGTTGGTAAAACATACACTGTGGTCCAGCAAGCAGTCATCCACCCTTAGTCCTGTATCGCTTTTCACAACCCAGGACTAAGTACCCTATCTATCTCTATAATTCCTGAACACTGATTTATTTTGGTTTCTGTATCACTTCTAAAAGTCAGTCTTTAACTCCTTTTATTTTAAGCTGCTTGCTTAGTCACGTGCCAGTAATTCCCAGTGTTCAGTGGAGCCTGAAGCTTCTTCTGCACTGCCTTTGGGTTCCTGTTCTTACTCCCTGGCTTTTGCTTTTTATGCATGTGGGCCTTTATTTACCAGGGAGCGTATTTTGGCGGACTGTTCTTATCCTCAGTACATTCTTCCATGATGCCTCCTTCCTTTTGTTTAAAGGGGAAAAAAAGGGATAGTTTTAAATAATATTACAGAATATTTGTTTGTTTGATATGCCTAAAAAGAATTAAAAATGTTGGTCGCTGAAGGCTATTAAAATCGTTTGATGCTTTGTACGAGAGTGGAGGCATCAACCCTCATGACAAATTAACACTGGACAAATTACAGCTTTGGTGATCAGTGGCTTCTCTGACATTTGAACTTCAAGTATCAGGCAAAAAAAGTTTTTCTCTTCCCTTCCTGCGCTGCTTTGTGGCGCACAGCATGTTTTCAAATGGCTCCTGCATGCTGCACAAAAAGGGGTTGCTTTTACAGGTTGATTGAACACTGGAAGGTGTATGTATATTCATGCATTGTGTTGTAATTGTTTGGGGATTCAAAAAGCAACAGGCAGACCTTCCAGATAAAGATAACTAGTAGCTGTTTTCTGCGCAGACGTCAGGCCTACACCATTTTCATTCCAAATCTTTACCCTGCAGGTGTACAAGAGTGCCAGTAAACGCAAAGCACACATCCTGAAGAACCACCCTGGTGCGGAGCTACCTCCAAGCATCCGGAAACTGCGCCCTGCGGGCCCAGGAGAGCCAGATCCCATGCTGAGCACCCACACCCAGCTGACAGGCACCATAGCCACCCCTCCGGTCTGCTGTCCTCACTGTTCCAAGCAGTACAGCAGTAAGGTACGGGGGTTGTCTCGTAGCCTCAGAAGACAGCCTCTTCTTGATGCTTTCTTACCACAGTCTCTGTCATCTGTCAGTCTGCAAGCAGAGCTCTCTTACTCCGAGTCAGAGTGCTGGTTTTGTGCTGCGGGCTGGCAATACAGGCACAGCCTGCTCGTTGTGTGGCAAAAAAGTTCCCTAAATAAGAAGGCATGAGCTTGAAAGAAGAAATGGAAATGTTATCAGAGTGCGGTCACAAATGGAAAAGCTTGGAAACTCCTCACTGACAGTTAGGAGGGAGAGGAGCAGGGAAACGAAATGCAGAAAAGGTGACCTCTGGAAAAGGTCCCCAAAATATTTGGCTGTGTTGGAGTAAAAAGCTTACGGGTTGTGACGTTTGGGGCAATATTTCAGTATCAGATAGCTCTAACTGGCAGCAACTTTGTGATCCTTGTTTCCTTCTTGCTGACCAGAGCATCGCATAGTGTGAATCTTGATGCTGCCTTACTGAGGGAAACTTAAAAGCTGCAGTCCGCAGGGCTGTTTGATTTCAGTTGGCCCGAAGCAGAGTTGCTGACCATCTTTCTAATGCTCTTTTGCATCTCTCTGTAGACGAAGATGGTACAGCACATTCGCAAGAAGCACCCGGAGTTTGCTCAGCTCCCTAACACAATACATGCCCCGCTGGCGACAGCTGTCATCAGTTCCACTCCTGCCGTGCTAACCACCGACAGCACTACCGGAGAGACTGTTGTGGTAAGGATTCAAGACACGTTAGATCAGGCCAATGGAGGGAAACAAACAGAACAGAAGCCCTCTGGTATAGTCGTCTTAGTGTTTATTTGGCAGGCATAATTTTAAAGCGTGTGTTAGGACATTATTTGAGATCACTTCTGTTCCTGAATCTGTGTGTTGTAGTTTTGCTCTGCCAGGAACTATGTATTTCTCTTTCCGGAGCTCTAAGGATTTGTCTTTTTTCCCCTAGTCCATTCCCTTCTTTCATTCAGACCCATATGCTACTGACTCCACATGATACTTTCACACATGCCTAATTAACTCAGAAATACTCACCTCGTGGATTTTCACTGTGACTGTTCTCTTGAGTCCTTGGGATCAAGAGGACATGTTTAATGATGACTGGGGACTGGATCAAAGTGTTCAGAGGAGTCAAAATCTTGCAGTAATCCTTTGGACAGTGCAGAACTGAGCGATGTGAACCTCCAGTGGCTGATTGCTCCACTGTTAATACATCATAGAATAGAATCGTTTAGGTTGGAAAGACCTTTAAGATTATCAAGTCCAACCGTTAACCCAGCACTGCCAAGTCCACCACTAAACCATGTCCCTATGCACCATATCTGCATGTCTTTTAAATACCTCCAGGGACGGTGACTCCACCACCTCCCTGGGCAGCCTGTTCCAAGGCTTGACAAACCTTTCGGTGAAGAAATTTTTCCTCACGTCCAATCTAAACCTCCCCTGGTGCAACTTGAGGCCGTTTCCTCTCGTCCTATCGCTTGTTCCTTGGGAGAAGAGACCGACCCCCACCTCGCTACAGCCTCCTTTCAGGGAGCTGTAGAGAGCTGTAAAGTCTCCCCTGAGCCTCCTTTTCTCCAGGCTAAACAACCCCAGTTCCCTCAGCCGCTCCTCATCAGACTTTTTCTCCAGCCCCTTCCCCAGCCTCGTTGCCCTTCTCTGGACACGCTCCAGCACCTCGACGTCCTTCTTGTAGTGAGGGGCCCAAAACTGAACACAGTATTCGAGGTGCGGCCTCACCAGTGCCGAGTACAGGGGCACGATCACATCAGCTGCTATGGAAGGGAAAGCTGAGACTAGAAAGTCAGTCTTGTGTCTTTTAGTGGTGCTGGGATGCTGCATAGTTTTAAAAATCTTAATAAGCACAGTTTAGAACTTCCTATTTTGAAGACTGAAACTGGGTAAAAGACTGTTTGTCTTGAAAATGGGCAGATTCAACCAGGATGCTGTTGGCTTCATACACCTGATTAGTTATGTGCTAAATGTCTTCACGCACTTTAGAAATACAGTTGTCAAGAAAAGTATCGCTCTGGCAGGCGAGGAGGAAAAAGGTAGAATAGGTCCGAGAAGCACTTTTTGACTTGGAAACTAAGTCAACTCTTTACAAATGCAGGGTTTTTGTTGTCTAATACTGTTAAGTCAGAAGATGAAAATAATTTTATTATTATTGTATGTTAAGCTAGCCCTTAATGGTCCTGACGAGCATTTAGACAGAAGAGAGCAATCCTAGCGCATGATCCCTGGTGATTGCTTGTGACCCCGTCCTCTGTACATGTTAAGCTCTGGTAAACAAATGACTAGGCCCAATGATGTAGGTGTAGATTCAGTGTGGTGAAAGAACTACAGCCCTGCAAAAGTATTCAATCCGGTAGACAATACGTGATGATGGTCTGTATCTCTCTCTCTACCTGCTCAGACGACAGATTTACTGACACAAGCGATGACGGAGATATCCCAGACCCTCACAACAGACTATCGAACTCCCCAGGGAGATTACCAGCGAATCCAGTACATCCCTGTGTCTCAGTCCACAACTGGCTTGCAGCAGCCTCAGCACATACAGCTGCAGGTTGTTCAAGTGGCCCAGGTGAGTAACCCGTTGGGGGACTTGATGTCCTTTTGACCCCTCTGTATCAAGCCTCTGCCTTCTTGGGGCTGTAGTGCTCAGAAGTTTGTTAAGGAATAGTTATGAAAAGTGGTGCAGACTATTTTTTACAGATAAATTGATAGATAATGCTTAGGGTTCCCATTGTAAGCATCATGTACTGGGCATAAATAGTCCTGACGGTCTTGATCAGCTTGCTGGAGCCATATTGACGCAGTCCTAATTTAGTTCTACCGATCTGGGCACCTTTGCTTGAGTCTGCTCTAGGAAGGTTTTCCAGCAACTGGAAAAGTGGGTCAGTGGGTGACCCATTTTTGCAGTTGAGAAGACTGATTTGTACTTCCTTGTTCTCAGTGAGCCGGAGCCAAAATTTGGAAGTACAGAAAGCACTTGCTTTTACCCTTCGTATCATCTATTAGAATATTCATTCTCCATGACGCTCAACAGCCTTCTAAAAATAAAAACAGTGTGTAACTAGAGTAACCGAACTGAGGAAAAAAACTCGGGCAGGTGTAAGAAATTGCTGCAGCCTTCAAACCTGTTTTTCACTGGGCGAAGCTGAAACTACCGTGTGTTTGTGTTTGAATCTGAAATTCCATGTTCTCTCTGGCCCCTCAGTACAAATTAGGTTATGAATTTAGTTAATAAAGGCCTTAACAGTGGCCCCAGTTAATATTGACTGTGGCTGTTCTAATGATACAAGAGCATGAATACCGATTCCTGCAGCTAATAATAATTTTATCAAGATCTGGGACTTGTAATTAAATTACTCCAATTGGTATCATTAGCAGGTGTTGCTCAAAAAAAGCCTTTAATCAGTGAGACTCTGAGCGCTTGTCTTGACACAGAGCTATGTCATAATACAGTATTGGATATGCAGATTGTACATTTTATAGAAAGATGCTTACAAAGAAGGGTGATCCAGCGGTAGACACTAATCCTGGTTTTCAGACCCTTTGATCTGAGTCCAGTCTCTGCCACAGACAGCTTGTATGACCTTAGGCAAGTCCTTTCCATTGATACCACTGAGATGTAACCGTCTCGGTGCCGTTACATCTGTTGAGTGTCCTTCTTTATCTCCCCGGAGTGGAAAGAGGGTAAATACAGGCTTGAACAAGGAGCGCTCCATGGCTTCACTAAGGCTCGTACCCCATCGTTCCAGACCTTGTATCACAGAAGAGGTTTACGTGGCTGCTTCTGCAAAGCATCTAAAGCGTACGCCTCTGCTTTGATGCCCCCCCAGGCTACCTCACCTCACCAGTCCCAGCACTCCACAGTGGACGTTGGGCAGCTTCACGACCCCCAGACATACACCCAGCATGCCATCCAGGTGCAGCACATCCAGGTCACAGAGCCACCGCCAGCAACTCAGTCGTCATCGCAGGTATTTCGCTCTTCTCTCGCAGGTAATGTTTTCCCTACCAGTCTGCTCAGCTGGCATATTACGTGTGCTGATGCAGGAGATAGTCTTTCCTATCCCATTTAAAGGACCACACATGACATGACATGACTCTCACATGAACCTCTCTGAGATCATCAAGTAGTTCCCAGATGTTCCTAGGGCGTATGGGGGTGTTTTGTTGGGTTTTTGTTTGGGTTTTTTGTTACGTTTCAGGGTTTTTTTCCTAGCAATGTATACAAGGTAGAGATAAATGGCTGGGAACAGACAAATTTGCAGCTTAAATAAACTTAGCCAATTGAAAGATGTAAATGGAAACTGGCATTCCTCAAATATTTGAAGTTCAGCTCTTCATGCTCTTGGGTAGTACTTAGGCTCTCATCTCAGTTCTCTGCCACAGACTCGCTATGTAACCTTTGGCAAGCAACGTCTCTATTTCAGTTTCCCGATCTCTGCTTACGAACCACAGAGTGAAGCGAGTTGGAGGAGAGGGAGGAGAGCTTTGCCGTTATTGTGCTCGATATGCTATAGAACCTGCTGCCCGCCCCTGTGTTTTCCCTTAATAAGAAGGATATGTTTGTAACAGTGCAGAGGCATGCAATCCTTAATACACTGAGAACAGTTACACCTTTCCCTTTTTTCCTAGGTTGGGGGTCAGCCTTTGAGTCCCTCCTCACAGCAATCTCA